TGCACACATATACGGCAAGAGAGTGTAATAAAAGAGACTTGGATAAGTGCCAAGTCTCTTTGCAAATCCCTGTCAATGTCATCTGTGTGGGTAATACATAAGAGATTCTTTTAAGGCAACAATCAGATTTTTTTATAGAATTTCCATTTTTTAGCTTTTAATGGGTAGTTGCTTTGGAAAGCATAGAGCTCCTGACTCTCCTTGAAAATGTCTTGCATAAGCCTCCCATCTTCTCTTTTTCCTCCATCTACTCCCTATAGTAGTTTCTTCTCCCTCCTCTTGAACTTTCTCCTTTCGCAAGCGCAACACGCAAGCGCAACACATTTCTGCAGTATTATCCAATACCCCGCGGCTTCAGTGAAGACAGACTTGACTGCTGTTGGCCTCATCTCAACAAATACCTGATGGCTCCCTTCACTCATGCCAGGACTCATTTCTAAAGAATGAGACAGTCAGCCACAACTTTCAGGAATAAATCTCATGAGTCACCTCTACAGGTCTCTGTTTCTTCTTACAAGAACAAATAATTGCAGTAACAGTCTTCTCTGAACTTTAATTTATCAGGAAGCTTTTCTTTTTTTTTTTTTTTGTGGGTTTATCTTTCTCCCTCAGATACAAAATTCTTTCTGACTACTAGAGAAGGGAATGGAGGAAAAAGATAATTTACCAGGAAGCTTTTTTTTTTTTTTTTTTTTTTTTAGCGCAGTGACGGTATCATTTTTACATAATTTGGTAGATTTTGATTAAATTCCTGCACTGTTGCCTTTGTCTTGTCTTGCCCTAACTTATTCATCGCTGACAAGGTGGAGATTTATTACGTATCAAACAAAAAATATCAACTCTAATATCACCTTTGAGAACTGTTGCAGAGGCAAACAATGTTTTGTTGCTCTACTTTTATTTAGTATTATCGTATACATTTTTTATCAACCAAAATATATTGATAGATATCCCTACTAAAACAATTGCATTGATCTTTTATATTTGCATTTTCTTCAATTGCTTTTGAGAAGTTAATTTATGTTCCAACAAAGACAAACTCAACTTTGTTGAATTATTTGAGGCTGAAAGACAAAATTAACTATTAAATCAATTAATTTTGATCTATGCATTCAGAGATTCTTTTACACCTGATGAAGGAACAGTTCAGAAGTTTGAAAGTCAGGATAAGTTGAAACGAGTTGTTTATACCTCTTCACATCTTTTCATATAGTATAAATACAGATTAATTGGTTCTGCAGACAATTAAATATAATACAACTACAGGCTGATTTATTGAGCTGGGAGAGCTAACTCCTAGCGTAAAACATTATAGTTTTTTTTATATTAGCTCTATTCTTTTTAACTTTTACAAGACGCATTGGTCGGTTATTTATGCCTGGTTCACTCTGGAAGATATTTGTGACAATTATTTGCCCCGATCATCTGCTTCGAAGTTATTATGATCCCTCTAAAGATTCTTCTAAGATAATCCTGATGAGGGAGGTGTGTTAAGGGTGATGTTGATCAGTCTCCTAGTGTTTGGGGTGTTCCCCACGTGCAGGTGAGAACACAACCGTTTGGAATATGACATGAAGCCAACCAATAAGTGTTTCTCAAGAAGAAAAAAACAATAACTCACCAGTTCATCAAGTGGATCCCCCTCCTTTATGTCTTACTTATGAATTTCCCCGAGTAAAGCTTTGTGCTGCTGTCTGGCAGTACACCGCACACTGTAATATCAAACCTGTTAAATCTTTGATTATTTTTATCGTCATGTTCAACCTTGCTGTGTAACCCTGGCATTACAGAGAAGCCAAAATACTTTTTACAAGTGGAAAAAAAGGTAGTGGGCCCATAATAATCTTTCTGGGACACTTAGACAAAACAGAAGTTATCCAGATAAAGTTAAAATGTTTTCCTATTCCCTAGTATTTTTGTTATTCTAACTGGAGGTACTTTTAAGTATTCCATTCCCATTCTGTGTTCACAGAAGCACACAATTATTGCCTTCAACCTTAATTTGCTGTGTAAATAATGATCGACTTATTTGTAAATACCATTTCAATAGAGGCGTTACAATGGCTTAAATATCATTTTGAAACAGCAGTACACTCTGAGCTGCAGTTCTCCTGGACTAAAACACGTCAACTTCAGCCTCAAAGACCTACTAACCTGGACTTGTACCTAAAGAAGATTTTAGGACAGTTTTCTGCTAAAGGCAGGATATGGACATTTTTCTTAGAAACTCAGTTAAAAAACTAAAACTGTCTCTTAAATGAGGAGAACAAGCTTATCCTGGTGGTCAATCTTCAGCACAACTTACAGTGCACTAATGATGTTCAAGTTAAAATATGTTACTGACTCTTTGCTCAATGGTTGCACAGCTTAGGTTTTTATATTTTATTGTATTTAGACAGGGAATGCTCATTCTTGGCTGTACTTGTTTCTCTTTTTAACCTGTCTATTTATTATTCCAGTAAGTGAAACTCTAATGTCCTAATTAACACTGAGAAAAGTTGCTTATACCAAATTTCCTTGATTTAAATACAAATGATGTGTCACAAGATCAAGTCTTGAAGAGAGAGATTGGATTTTGTAAATGCATTTTTATTTAACTTATAAAATCATCAGTAGTAAAACTTCCTTACCCTGCAGAGATATTTTTAGTTGGTTGAATGTAAAGAATTTGCCTAAGTTGGAGGATGGGCCAAACAGCTAGTTGGACAATGCTCTGACCCCTTCATTTGATTAAGCAGATTTGATGAACACATATGGGGCTGATGCAGATTTACGAGTGATTAAGCTAATTTATTTATAGGTAAAAAAGGAAGGGTCCTTTGAACTTTGCTGGAGATTTCTGTAGACATGCAAACACCTTTAAAATGATTCAGATGAATTAAGAGGTTTACCAGAACTAAGCATTCCAGTCGCTAATGGAAATAAAAATCTAACTAATGTTACATGTCTGTTACTGTTTTGCTTACTTATTTTTCATAGACATAATTATATTTTCTTGGAAAAACATAAAAAAACAAAAGTGTGAATAAAAAAGATGGTACTGTCATAGAGCAATTGCAACATTTATTGAAGTGTTGGCTTTCTTGTATTGATTTTTCAACACATTACAAAAATACATATATGTTCAATTCAAAACAGCAGATGTATACTGTTCTGAAAACACTTTTTTTCACAATGATGCCCCCCCATTCCCTAAAACAAAAACAAAAAAGGAACAAGGAAACCTTTTGTACAAAGAGTGTAGGTGAAAGTGTTGAAAAGTGAAATATGAAAATGTATCCAAAATTACAGTTGTAAGTGCCATCACGAGACCTTCAACCAAACATGAGGAGAAGACCATGAAAGTCCAAGAAAGTCCTTTAAAATTGATTTGGAAAGAAATTCCTGCACAAATCCACTGTATTCACCTGAAGGTCTTTCCTTCAGTTTTATCTTTCTCATTTTTTTTCAATCATTTTGTTTTATTTCCACTAAGAATAGCTCAAGATAAAGAAAATTTAGGTGAAAAAAATATATTTAAAAGAAACAAATAGCTGGAGTCAAAATGACATCACTGTTGTTCGAAAAAAAAAAAAAATCTGCCATGACTGAGCATTTACATAAAAAAGAAAATCCATACAGTGAACAAGCAATCATACAAAAACACATTAATCTAGATTAAACCCCTCCACCAGGAAAATCATACAAAATTGCCAAATTATTGGAGAGATGGAGAAAAAAAAATACTTTAGCATAATTTTCAACACTAATACAGAGTACTTTCTTAATGGCATACTTCAACACTGTAAACATATTGTAAGACTGAACGTCCATGTGTGATCTGGGTCTCTATGAGCTTTCCAATGTTCATCGTCCGAATGCGTTTGCATGGCTCATCATGGCCTCACTCTGGACGAGGGAAATAATACACGACGTGTTTAAAAAAGCACCTTGATTTATTTTCTTTTTTGCATTCATGCAGACCCACGTGTAAGCAAGCTCTCTCCCGCCAGTGTTGCTTTTATGTTAATTCACCAAAACGTACTTAACTATGTAGCTTATGCAGAGCTCATTGCGAACACGAAACTTTCTTTCTCAGATTTGCCAGAAAATTGAAGTGGAATTGCATTTAAAGCACAGCATATCTTTTTTTCTATCAAAGCAAAGTGGCGCAGATAAAACCTGACAATAGGCCAAAATGGTAGGTCAAAGTTTCAAGTGATTATGATTTCTATGGCTGAGGACTGCAGCGCTGAAATGAAAAATGTAGCCTCATTCTCCTTTCATGTGGCTCCGCTGTCTCTCTCCCTCTCACGCTCGCTCTGTCTCACTATGATGGTCTGTTATAAGATGTGGCCAGTAGATGTGCATTTGGGTAAAAAAAAAATACATGTTTCATATGCTTCCAATTTCATTTGAATGACTACTCTCCCCAGTCAAGGTCTTGCTCTCTCTCCCTCTATTTCTTTCTCACACATCTTCATTTCCCAGCTCCAATCTTTCATTTTTGCCATAAGAATAGCCCCTACTCAAGGTCGCTCGACCATCCCCAAGTGCAGCTGTGTTCCAAATTATCATAACTCATATGGCTTTTTTTGCCTTTTTTTTTCTTAGTTTTACCAGATTGATTTTAGAATGAATGATGCAGAGAATAAAAAGCGTAATCCCCGGAAGACATGTACAGGCACACTGTATCAAAATCTGTTACAGAGTTAAACCTGTATCGCTGTGTGAGGCGAATGAACAGGCCTCCTTTTAAAATGCAGCTCTAATGCATCAATCTGAGCTGGTGAACTGTGAAAAGATGCAGTCAGAGAGAGACTCAGAGCATGCCGCAAAGAGGAGAGGAATGCAAACACACATTGATATGGATTTCATTTAAGAGTTATGTTTTGGCCCATTATGGGGTACAGGAAGTCAGCTTGGTGGGACAGAGTTTCCATATCAAACACAAGAGGGAGTGGCATTGAAGGTAAAGTAAATTTAGCCAAACGATGTTTGACAATGAACTAGAGATAGGCTTAATAAAGAAAACATTGGATGGTAGCTACATGTAGCAAATGTAAGCAGCTGGTCTTTTGATTGTGTAGATTTAGGCCATCTTTCATTTACAGTCAGGGCTACTTTAACATATAAAAAAAGAATATTTACAAACCATATAAAGGACTGTTCCCGTTCTCACATTAATCACAAGTAGTCTTTAATCTATTCATCATATTAAATATGGTGGTTTAATCCTACATTAGGAATGTACTGAGCATCAGTTTAAGGGTATCTCTGTTAAGTGCAACCTTTATTTACGTCCTTTTTTGCTTTAAGGACACTAATACAGTAACTGCATTTTGAAATTGTTCCAATTTTTTTTTCAATTGTTTTAAAAGGACAATGCTCCCTGAATAAATTAACACCAACCTACCATATCTCTAAGATAATGTCGGATTTTTAAAATCCACAATGGATGTTTTATTGTCAGGCTGACATTCAGTGCTTTAGGCCTGTATGAGGGAATGGATTGTAATCCGCTGCTGCAGGTAATATAGAAAACAAATATTTTTTTTTTCTTTTAAAAGCTGACTGCTTCACACAGATTTACTCTCACAGGATAACAAGCTTCCTTAAAGGAAAAAGTCAAACATCGTATTAATGGTGACGTCTTCTCAGTTATATCGTTTTAGAAAAAAAAAAAGTTTTTTTTAGAACATTTCAAAACTAACTCCATATGAAATCCCACAAAGATTTACCTGCACATGCCAAATATCATTACAAAAATCCAATAAATACAGAAATTATTGCACAGTAGAAAGGCTCCATAGATTCCTAACTGATAAAATCCTCAGACTGTTTGAAACACCCAGATGAGCATTTCAGACAAGTTATTAAAGTTTCCATTTGGTAATATTCTCAGGTGGCAGTTTCTGTGACAAGAAAAAATGATAAACATCAATCTTAATTTTTTTTTTCAAGAGAGTGATACTCCAGCCAAGCTCCATCACTGAAGAAGTGGTGTTGTGATTTGTGTGCATGTATGAGTGTATTGTGTATGTGTGTAAGAGAGCGCGCAAGAGAACAAGGATGTGTGTGTACTGTATGCTTTATAACTTATCGCTGGTGGCTTAACCTCTGTCCGCTTGTTCCAGTTTGACCTCACTGGCCATCAAATGTTCACCATGCCATTTCTTCATGTGTTTCTCCAGCGTGCTGTAGACACTGAAGGGCATGTGGCAAATGTCGCATCGATACACCTCCTTCCCGAACTGGCCGTGGGTCTTCATGTGGCGAGTCAGCTTGGAGCTCTGGGCGCAGGCGTAGCTGCACAGGTCACACTTGTATGGTCGCTCCCCCGTGTGGCTGCGCCTGTGGACTGTCAAATTGCTGCAGTTCTTGAACACCTTTCCACAGTACTCACAGGTGTCGTTTCTCTTCTCTTTTGAACTTGGGGGCCGACCGGGTCCAGGTCCGCGCAGGAGGTGAGGGGTGCTGCTGCCGCTCCGCCCCGATGCACTGCCGCCTTCAATCAGTTCCCCCGGCGGAGTGGAGAAGCGGAGGCTTCCAGTTTCTGAGGAGGAGTGGTCAGAAGAGTTGGCGAACGGTGACTGGCGGGAGTCAGTAAACCCCAAGAAAGGTTCTCTAATGAAGTGGCGTGAAGCAGCGTAGCCAGCCAGGAGCTGGGAGTAGACATTTTCTGGGGATATAAGAGGTATGGTTGGGGGAATATCCATCTGTTCCTTCTCTATCTTGATCCTCTTGTTGTTGGAGGGGCTTGGGCTGGTGATAGGAGTGGGCCTACGCTGAAAGAGCCCAGGAAAGGACTCCGCTTCACTTACACTGATCCTGCCATTCATCATAGGCCTGATATCTTCTTGCTCCTCTCGCTCTCTGTCTGGTCCCCTGTCATTTTCTCTTTCAGCTTCATTCCTCTCTCCACTGTCTCCATTAGGTTGTCTCTCCAAGGTTCTCTTGTTAGGGTTAAGTCTAAGGTGATTGTCCAGGTGGTTGTATGGGTGCATGATGCCCACTCCACCATTGTCATTAACTCTGTCCCCGCTCATAGGTTTCTCCACAGGGGACTGTCTGGGACCATTTTCTCTATTCTGACTGAATTCTTGGGAGTCCTCACTTAGGTTTGAATCTGGTCGACTTCCATTCCTTAGCTCTTCCTCCTCCTCCTCTTCCTCATCTTCTTCTTCCTCCTCCTCTTCCTCTTCTTCCTCATTCTCCATCTCCATAACTCTAGTATCCCCCTCTCTGTTTTTCCCTTCACCTTCTCCTTCTTCTCCCCGACTTCCCTGTTCTGGAGATCCAGTCATGTTCCCAGACTTGTTGTGCATATGTGTTTTCATGTGCCTTTTAAGTTTGCTGGCCTGGGAGCAGGCATGGTCACACAGATGACACTTGTAGGGCCTCTCTCCGGTGTGACTACGTCTATGCACAATTAAGTTGCTTTGAAATTTGAAGATCTTGCCACAGAACTCGCAGGATTTGGACTTTCCTGGGGCCTGATTCTGACCCTGTGCATCAGGAGGGCTGGAGGAGCCATGCCCCCCCTGAGATGTGGGTGGTTGTGGGGCGTAGGTGAGAAATGTTGGTGGTTTTGCACCGGGCTGGAAAAGTGTTGGGCTAAGCAGGCGGTGCATGGGTGGCACACGGTTGGGTGACAAAGGGGGTGTGGGACCACCGTTATTGGTCGTATTGCCCGCTAGTTCTCTCAGTCGACGGGAGAAGTCCATCGAGGGAGGCTCCATGGGGGTCATTCTCATCACCCTCTCAAAGGCACTGGGGTGCTGTGACAGCAGCCCCATTTCCTCTGGACCCAGTCGTTCTAGAGGCGGTCTAGGGGGAGGTGGAGGGCTGACAAAAGGTGGTGTTGCAGGGAGCCGGGTCTCCATGTAACCTGATGGGTGGGGGTGTTCCCTGAGCAAGGGTGCCGCCATACGTAGAAGGTGAAATGGGTTGTTGGTGTCACCCAGGAAAGTAGGGAGAGGGGAGCGAGGCAAAGCATCAGCTCCCGGTGGAGGAGGGAGAGCCATGCGGGGAGTGAGAGAGCAGTTGGCCAGATGGTTGTCGAGATAGATGCGGATGCCATGAGTGTGCTGGGCATGCTGAAGAAGAAACCAGGCGCTGTTGAAGGTCTGCTTACAGGTAGTACAGATGTAGCTGGATGGTTCATCTTTATCTGTTGATGAAGAGGAAAAAAAACACATTTAAAAAAAGCTTCTTTTTTTTAAAGTATGTCATAGAGACAAAAACTTCTATCAAACAATTAAAATTCAACATAGAGTAAGTCTAAATTTTAAAAACACTGTTTTATGGATACCTATATAGGAGGAAGCTGAGCTTATCTTGGTGTTTCCTAAAATTATTAGCCCTTTTAAGACTCGTACCATTTTAGAAATGCAATGATCAGAACTGCAGCCTTTTCAATAAGGGGTGACACATCCTTTAGTAAAACGAAAAGAAGTCCGGTTTCATCCTGTTCCAGTGCTCAGAAAAAAAAAAACAATCTCCGTATTTTGAATTATTTTGTGTATGAATATGTGAGACATTTTGTAAAATTTATTGCACTGAGACCCAAGTGTAAAATGAGCTTTCTGTGTTCTGGTAGTGTTATGAGGTTTCATAAGAAAGGGTGTGTTTTTACAGGGTAATATAGGTGGCAGGTATTGCCCTTAGGCCATGACACATTATGCAAATCCTAATGTCGGCAGGGCTTTAATATACAGATCCATCTCGTCAAATCTGTCATTTCCATATGGAGACCAGGGAGCGAACAATGGGTAAAAAACAGAAGATATGAGAAGTGGGGGTAGGGGATGGAGGCTGAGAGTGAGACAAAGAGCAAAACTTAAAAGCACACAGAAGAAAAGAGATAAAGCTGATGAGTAAATAAAAACTTTGCTGGTTATAAAACTGTGTTCATATTAAATGAATTTTTGCATCAGTGGTGTAGTTACGGGGGACTGTAAAGTGATCTGTTGTGGCTCCATACTTTGAGAGCTGAGCGTCACTCACTGACAAATTACCCCTTTAAATGCTGTGACTTAATAATGCCAAATGAATCTATCAGTCATTGTGGAGTGGCCCTGTCAGCCTGCCTTTGACTCATAAAAAAAAAAAAAAACGTCGGTAGAGGTTCATCTAATTGAATGCAGGCTTACCCTGAAGAGGCTTTTCCACAGTCTTGTGTTTGCTTGCGAGGCATCTGAATCTGCTTTATGATCAACGGCTACCGCAAGTGGAGTCAAGTTGGTACAGCCGTCCCAGAGCTTGAAGCCCAGAGGGGCCAACACAAAGCCAAGGAAGTTAGGCTTGGCCAGAGTTTTATGTGATCAACAAAAGAGTCCTTAAGATGGCTGACTGCCTCAAAGCCACCCTTTGTTATAAAATGTAAAACACACATGCAGAGACTGATACATACTCGGGAATATGTCCTCCCTACTCTCCAGCCTACATCTTTTTCGCATACAAATTCATACACTCACTTTACACTGAGGACAGCAGATGAGCGAAAGCTGATGTTGGATCAGTGTCTGGTACAGGAAGCTGATTTGGCGCTGTGATTGGTTTGGCTTGCCTCTAGGGAGAAAGGGTCAGAAAAAGTTAATGAGGGGCTCATTTACTGATTCCGTCGGTTTTTCTCTGCTATTAGCAGTGCTCTGCTGCAGCCGTCACTTTCACTATTTGTGTGGGTTGGGACACGACCTGCCTCTCGCTATACTAATGTGTAGCGTGTTTGCATTTGTGAGTGGAGTCCTCATTTGTGCGTGTGAGGGAACATTTGCGTGGATGTGTTTTTTGCGTGTGTACATGCACGGCTGTGTGCATGTGTGGGGCGAGTGGCGGGCTGCCTGCCTGTGTTTAGTTTGGCTAAGCTTCACACGGCCGCTTGGCAGCGGTGAGCTGGACAGCTTAACAGCTTGGACTGGTAGAAGAGAACCTAGGGAGGGGAGGGAAAGAGAAGGAGTGGAGGGGTGAGAAGAGGGGTGGAGGGACTTTAAGGGGCCTGATAGGCTTGGGCGCACACACTGCAGCACACACACACAGAGGCTATTTTCATCGCCCCCCGGGACAGAGCTGTATTATCTCAGCAACTAAAGGATCAATAACTATGTAGTACTGAAAAAGGTTTGATGATCTCCTTGAAGTCTGCTTTTTCTAATCTATCCTCTTTTTACTCACTTTGCATCTTGTCATATCTTACACTGGTGCGCCATATGCTGCTAAAGGAAGCGTGGCAGCTAATAGAGTGGCAGTCAATGGTGGCTGCTTAATGACGGCTAAAGACAAATTTCATCAACTTCCCAAACAAGGAAGAAAGTAGCAGGGGGGAAACATAGAGCAGAAAATGTTAAACTAGACAGTACTGAAACAAAGTGAAATAAGTTCTTCTTTAAAAATTTAAGTAGAAATTTGGATCCAATTTATCTGGGTTGATATTAATTAATAGTTCACAGGATGAATTGATGAACAGCTTAAAAATATTTAAATAAATGATTAAAAGTTAAACTGTTTAAAATGAAGTGACTTGACCACAGAAAAGTTAAATTCTAATATTTAGTTCATTTTGGTAATCAGGAAGTCCTCCCACATTAAAAACACATGAAAATTTGAGTATGATGTTATGATGACGGGTAAAAATATGTCTTTAAAACTTTCCCTGCTGAAAATCACAGTAAAATATGTCAGGGTTAAGATATTCTGCAGGCAAACAAATTTGACTTAAACATTAATGCTATTCCTAAACTAGCTTTATTAACATTTTATTTTATTCAGATTTGTAAAGCCATTTTTACTAAAAGGAAAACTGGGAAGTCTTTGCTTGCCTATGCGACGGATTGGCTCTGTTTAATGTATATCTTTGTGTAGCTCATTAGCTTAAAGACATAGAGAAATATTTTACCCCATATTTTTAAAATGCATTCCCCTTATTAAATGTGTAAGATAATTATTGGGATCGTTTTCATTAAGGGGTTAATCTAATCATGTTAAACGGGAAGAAAAAAAAAAGAAGTCAATAATTACGGAGGCATAAAACAGTACTGAAACTTTTTTTCTACCATATTCAACTAGTTTCATTGATAAAGATCATCTCTGGGTGAAATTGCTAACCTTTATTCTGAGCACAGTCCCTATAACTGGCTAAAGCTGGTTGTCTTTGTATGATATCTTGAATGAAATTTTTACCAAACTGGTAAACATATTAACAGAAACACTACTTTATCTCACAGTATAAATAAGATTTATAAACCTTTGACTGAACCAATATTGTACTGCCAATATTTGCTGAAATTCTTTAAGCCAATATTTAATTTCATCAAAATTCATGTTAATGGTTGTGAGAGAGAAAGCTGAATGCTGAGAGAGCGGCTGATGTTCAGAGCTCTGGCCAGTACAAGCCCTCATTAAAGGATCACTGCGGGTCATGTCATGCTTCAGTGTGTGGTAATTAAAGCCGCCAGCCCGACATGCAGGCGTAGACCTTTACCCCACTGACCGCCCAGGTCAACTGCCAGTTAGAACAGTTGCATCCTCCTCCTCTCAACACAGCCACTGAAGCTGGACCTAATCGCCCAATTTACTCCACCACACTGTGCGTGTACCGACACACACAGCTCCATATGTGTGTGCGTATGGGAATGAGGCTGATATGAGAGGTTAAATGAAATGGAGTCGCAGCAGGATTCAGTAATACGCTACACTGCATTTTGCTGCTTTTTGTCAGTTCGCCAGCAATTTGTAAACGCTTTGCTGTAATGGAATTCACCTAAAAAGGGACTATCTGTTATTTCTCTGCCCAGGTGTTCATGCTGGCAGGCTTTCCCATGAAAACAGGGAGGAAGTGCACAATACAGACCTGAGACCAGCTCAGGAGGGCAGCTCTTTGTCCTGCACAAGGAAACAAGGGCTAAGGGCCAGGAGGCCTGGAGGAAGTTATTAAAGCACTGGCACATGCATGGAAGCTGAGGTGGGCCAGTAATAATTCCCTCCATCTCTCCTGCGTTGTTGTTTTTTTTTTCGTTCTTTTTTAGTAAACCACTAGCCCAATTAACCAAGTCTACAGGGACTGAGATCTGAGCTTTACATCAGATTTTATTCTTTCCAGATTGCCTTTTATAGCCATTATTTTGCCTTAAAAAGTACAAACAAAATGCCAGTGTATAAAGGGGAGCCATGGTATTGACTGTTTGCATATGGCTAGAAGAGCAAAGGTGGCGTGAGTCTGGTGGAGCTGACGTCCAAACCCACCGTATGGTGTGGCCATGTGGGTTTGTGCCTAACTAAGAAGTTCACATATGCTACTCTGGAAAGCTGACGTGCTATTTCTGATTTGTACGGTAAAGCCTGAGGTCCTTCCATTTAAACTCTGTGGTCTTTATCAAATGTTGTATGCCAGAGGGACATTCAGGGGAAACCACAGAAGAAGACTGTTCTACAGGGTCAGTACTCTACAAAAAGTAACCTGGTCAGACACTACACCACAATAATTTTTTTCCTTTGACTTAGCTAGACACTAAAAATATTTTGCTTTGTGGAAGTATTTACCCCCAGTGCATCCCAACACCAGGAAAAAGTTATGCAAAATTGGGGATGGATTTTAAATGTTTTTCTTTAAAAAAAATGCAGAATGCATTTCTTTACTCTATCCTCTAAAAGAAATCCACTTCCAACTATGGCCTCAAGGAGTCATCATTTTTCTAAGAAATGTTCACTTGTGTATCATATTAAGTAAAAAATTAAGCAAACATTACCAATCAAACAACGTAAATGAAAACATGGAACAGAGGAAAAATTCAGGGATTCATTCGGAGAATCACAGAAGCTGCTTATATCAACCCTCATACATCACCTCCAAGAAGTAACATGGTAGAGGCAGCATCATGCTGTGGTGTGTGATTTATGTTTTTTATAAGCCGGGACAGAGAGGAACTTAATAAAGAGGTTCAGACTAAGGCTGAGGTCTCAGCAGGAAAATGACCTTAGGCAAGCAGACATAGCGACAAGAGAAGAGTTTAGATCAGCAGAAAGTTTTTAAAATGTGTTAGAATGGTCCAGTCAAACCCAGAGTTTCATCCACTTGATAATTAGTGACAGGAATTAAAAAGAGATTTTTAAATATGCTCTCTATTCAATCTAAGCAATTATTTCATAAATGTTAAAAAATCTGGTAGATAGAAA